TACCGTTGTTTTATCACAATGCGAGAAACTTACATACATTTACGCAGATTCCCCATTTCAAATTTGAAAATATAATGCTGAATTTTTGTTGTTTGACTTCTGAATTAGTTGGCGTGTTATTATGTCTTGAAAACAATAGTCCTTCAGAGACAAAGCCCCTTTGAACTAAAAAATGCTTCTAATTGAAAATACAGCAATTTGACACTGGAAATGGTGGTGATTTTAAAAGTGCAGGCATACTAATAAATCGATCAATTGATTTGAGATCTTTTTATAGGGACTTATTTTTATTTCCTACTAGCGGAAGTCCCCCGCGGCAGTTAAGTTAGATTGAGAGTAATGCATCTAACAGAGAGAATGATCCCACTATAATTATTCTAATAACGATGCAAAAAATACGATTCATAGTCATACATTTTTTCTGTCTGATACGATATGGAACCCACATAAGAAATTTCGATAGAAAAATAAACTAATTCTCTCTCATTATATCAGCAATATAATTTTGCCCGCAGTTTTTAATGATTTTCGTCTTTCTAATCAAATGGTCGTAAAAGCTCAAGTTTCATCCAATATTTCACTTATATTCAATTTTAGGCGATTAAATGTGGCAAAATAACTTATCATAACTAATCAGAAATCAATAACATGAACAAACAAACAAACAGACACTCTTCATTATATATATATTGTAAAACTTACAAACTTTTGATTAACAAAATGTATGATTTAAAGCGAGCAACAGCAACACTTCTCGAAATAAAGCATTTTTATCTCTAACGTGCAAAAGTATTGCCACTTGGAAAAATGAGTGCGAAAATTAATGTTTGGGAGTTTTTAATTAATATCTCTGATTACAGTCGTTAGTAGTCAAAATGGCTTCCCATGAATTTTTGGAATCGGGAATAATGTATTTAATTTTTGGCAATGCTATTTTTATTTCATCGCAAGACTTCGAAATTTTTTATTAACAAACTCTAGGATTTGAAAGTAAGCAGAGGAAACAACTTTCGAAATAAAGCAGATTTTCATCTCCAGCTTGCAAGACAGTTGCCACTCGGAAAAATGAGGCCGGAAATTATCATTTTTCCGAGTTTTTAATTAATATATCTGATTTTAGCTATTTTTTCGAGGGAGGGTGGACGTCCACCTTTTCCAGGACCCAGAAAAGAACTGTAGAAAATTTGGTGACGATGTCTATAGTAGCAACTGAGTTATTAGAGGACAAACGCACAAACTTTTTTCTTTATATATATATAGATTAAATACAACATCCATTTCTATCACTCTCTTTTAAAAACATCATTTATGACAAATTTTGTTAATGTGATGGCTAAAAGAATATTTGTGAAAATAAAAACGGATCATTTTGCTAAAGTCTATGAGTGGCTATTAACCTCGAACAAAGCTTGCATAAATTTACGAGTATTAAGAGAAAAAACTTTTACGGGATATTGGGTTATTTAATTTTTGAATTTAATATTTAAAAATACTTTGTTTCTTTGTGCACCATCTATTTTCTCCTGTGTACCATGCTGATCGCGTATCGCGAGAACCGCTGATCTAAATGACACAATTCAAAGCATCGGTATGTACAACCCTACTACCTAAGCATACAAGAGACTACGTACAATTCACTATAATCCAAATTGGTAACTACTGATATCTCTGCATCAATTTTTTTTCCTGTATATATTTACTTGGTGAAGCAGGTCTTTGGGGCTTTTCTTTCTCCTTATTAAGCAGGTATAGATTTTATTATTTTCAATTTGAGTGATACGAAGAGGACAACGGATTGACTTAGCCAACACAAATAAGAATGAAGTACAGTTCGCACCCAGGTGAACCTTAAAACTATTCAGTAGTAAATATTATATTTTCGCATTTTATCATTCTGTGTTGTATAGTATGCGTAATTGCAACATCTTCAAGTAAAAATACTATCAAATATTGCTATATAATTGCTTTAAGAAATGCAATAGTTCATCTTCAATTGTACATAAAAGTTTCTACACGCAGGTCTTCCATTACTTGGATTTTAAGGTGTTGTTACTTACGTTTACCATAGGGGTTAAGATTAAAATTGGGAAGTAAAAGCCATAAACTACCTATAAAAATGAAGATCCCACTTCACTAGAAGAGCAGCGTTATGACAGTGTGTTCTGCCTTCCAGCCATATTGTTGTTCATAGTCTAATCTTACTGCTACTCAGTGTATTGTAACATGCCTGCTAATATTGCTGATATCTTAAATATGCACTGCTTTACTAGGAAGACTTTCTTCAAAGAAAGTTTTCACTTTTTCCTACTTTGCCAACACTTCTTTAATCTTACTGGAGAGATGGCTCATCTCCTGTTCTCTTTTCCCCTAACAAAAGCTCTTCTCTTGATGCTGCTCTTTCTGAAGTCCTTTAAGTTCGTCTGTAGTAAGCTCCTCACCATGCTACTCCACTAACTCATCCTGATCCATACTTTCCCCAAGAGATACAATTTCATCAACTAACTGCACTGTGCTGTCCAGAGGCTGAAGATCGAAACCTAACACAAGAATACTCCGAGGCCACAGTTTTTTTCTTGCTGTATCTGGAGTCCTTACTGAGACTTCTTCCCAGGCCGTATCAATGAGGTTTAAACAATTCAGGATGTTCAAAGCTATCCTTCCAAAATTCTCTGAGGGTCAGGCTTGTATTTTCGGTCACTTCAAAACACCTTTGAAACAAGGCCTTCACGTACAGCTTCTTATAGTTGGAAATAACTTGCTGGTCCATAGGCTGGAGAAAAGAAGTGGTGTTGGGAGGAAGAAACTTGACTTTCATGAACTGAAATTCCTCCAGCAAATCATCTTCAAGCCCTGGAGGATGTGCAGAAGCATTATCAAGGACAAGCAAAGCCTTGAATGGCAACTGACTTTAGTGAAGGTATTTCTTCACTGAGGGACCAAAAACTTCATAGACCAATTGATGAAAAATTGGCCACGTTATCCACTGTTGGCCCATTACATCACATTTAGTTGATTTTTCTGCACCTTCCCTCTCTTGAAAACTCGTGTATTTTCTGAATGGTATACAAGCAGCGGCTTAATTTTACAATCTTCATTTGCGTTGGCCCAAACAAAAGGTTTACCCTATCTTTCATTGGCTTGTGGCCAGGCAAAGATTTCTCCTCTTGCATGTTGTATGTCTTTTTAAGCATTTTCTTCTAAAAAAGACCTGTTTCATCACAATTAAACACTTGCTTGGGAAGAAACCCTTCACTAGTAATAAATTGTAGGAACTCTTGCCGAAATGTATCAGCTGCAGCTATATCAGAGCATGCCGCCTTCCCATGTCGCACAACACTGTGAGCACAGGTTCTCTTTTTAAATCTTTCGAAACATATGCGGCTTGCCTTAAATGCCATCTCATCTTCAGTCATGTACCTGATGTTTGTCGGAGAAGGTCCAAGAACAGATTCTTAGATTTAGCGCAAATGATAGCTTCTGACACCGAATCACCTTTTAACTGCTCGTTAATCCCCACCAACAACAGCTTCTCAATGCCTTCTAGTTTTAGACAGTGCTTAGAAGTAATGGTAATTCCTTTGCCCACATCAAGTTTCTTAATTTCTTCCTTTTTCAGAATAGTGCAGATCGTCAATGTCGTACTGTTTTAAGTCTTCGCCAATTCCAACACTCTTACACCACACTCATGTTTATCTACGACTGCTTTCTTAATTTCAATGGCCATAGCTTCCTTCTTTTTCTTTGCAGCACTAACTGTGGCAACAATCTTGGGAGGCATCGTGAAATAATTATTTTTACATTAAACGTAAAACAATTAACTCACAAGAGCACAAACATGTAGATCAAAGAATACTGAGTTGATTTGACGAGGGTATCCCCCCCTTCCGAGTTGAGCCAGATCGGGAAACGCGTCATGCATACCAACAATCTGGCTCACTGCTTATTACTTGAGTAAATGCTCAAATTATATAGAGATGAATTTTTTGCTCATACTTTCCTCGTATCTCGAATTTCTCATATATATAGGTGCTTGTACCTTGAGGTTCCACTGTATCTTAATTATAAATGGGGAGGGGCTCAACAGTGAGGTTTTTCTGAAATATTTAATTTGATGTTGTTCCTTTGAGTTGCCATCAAAGGAACTGGGAGAAAACTGTGGTGATAGCAATAAGGAGTGCACCCAGGTTGCTGCCAAAAAATACGCCAACCCTAAGGAAAAGTTCTTGCAGAAGTGCACAGAGAAACTAGCTATTGAAGCAAGTGTAGTTGCTAATACACATAATTGAAATCTTTAAATGAAGATGAAATTTTATTGTACATTATGTCTGACTGGAGTTCTTCATAAATGCAGTGAGATTATTTAAGATGATATAAACAACTAAGATCGGCACCATGTAACAATGGTTCCTACAGATATAGGGTAAGCAAAGATATGGCTACATAGCCAAAATACTGGTCATACATATTAATGTTAATAAATGTTTTCTTAATTATTAAGATATTTTATTTAGTGCCAAAGTGAAGTTAAGAATCAGGAGTCTCAGCTCTGCATGTTTTATTATGGAAATGTGAGAAATACACATGTGTAAAGCATAAAAAGATAAAGGTTGTTGCTGGTGGTCTGGATTTTAGATCATTGTGGATATTGTACATCTGAATTCCGAATATTATATTGTATTTAAGACATCTGTTTAGAAAAAACATAAGAAAACAATTTTTTAAATGGGAAATAATTCATGGTGAGCTTTCTTTCGTATTTATGTTAGACATCCAGGAAACTTCAACAGCCATTCACCAGAATTCATACTTGACCCAAAGTATTACATTTAGCAATCTTTTCTTATTTGTCCATTAAAGTACTCACCGTTGCAAGTACGATATGTCTAAAAAGTGTGTATATTTGCACATTAATTTTATTTACTGCAGCCATTAGTATAACAAGAATGCCTGAGAATGTTGTATGTGCACTGATTTATTGTTGTAATGACAAAGAGTTGGAATTGTAGAACACAGGTATTCCTTTATTGTTATTTGCTTGCACTGCTATAAATATGCAATAGATTTCCCAATAAAAAAGCAAATACAATTTAATTTATACACCTATACTAGTGTGCAAAACTTAAGCAACAAATTCATTCTTCAACATACAATCAGTGTTGCCAGAAATTTTTCAGCTAATATAGCAATAGAAGACTCCAAAATTCGCAAATGACGTCAAAGATGATGTAATTTTTGTGATATCATAGTTTTGCGTGCTGATATGACCTCTGACGTCATCACAAACTTACTGTCTATGAAATACAGTCCAATGACCTCAAAGATCATATGTCTTATGTACAGCTAATGCTAGCAAACCGTGTAGGTTGCTTCAGTGATCATGTGACTTATATATAACTACTACAAACAAACAATATCATTCTTCCTCTTCTTCTCTTGCAGAATGCATCTCATTGGTTCGCTAAGTTACCAGCTGTATTCGATTCTTAGTTGTTTTATTTAAGTATCTTAGCCTTAACAAAAATTTCAAAACTATATTGCTCATTTTCAAGTGTTTAAATATCCCCCCCTTTTCTAATTAATTCTTATTTAATTTAGATTTCTGTTTTTAAATTAATTTTTAAGATATTCCTTACTTTTAGATTGTTAGCACTTTTGTACTAAATTTTTTTAATTCACTGTTTATTTTTCTTTGATTAATTGTGAACATTTCAATTAAGGAATGCTTTTCAGTGAGTATTCCATTCTGGGTTGGTGGACTTATTTCAGATTCTCATTACTTAAGAAAGCATTGTTTGTTCTTTCACTGTTAAATTAATTTTTGTTATTTAGAAAAATGCAGCTGCTTTGACTTTTGAGTTATTTCCATTGCTTAGTTCTTAGCAGTATTATAATCAAGAGAATGCATTTTATTCCTTTCTCTGTTTGAGTACCCAATATATGACACGCAAGCTGCAAGTTCTTTTGTTCGATTTGTTATCACCGTAGAACTGGGGGGGGGTCTCTTAAAAACAAAATTTATAGAGAACTAAAGTCGTGAATAGTAGTATTAAGGTACATAATTCTCTGTTTTACGAAGCAGTTTACGATATGTTTAAAAAAAACTTTGAAGTTACAAAAAGTAGCATAAGGAAATGATGGAGGTTGTGAAAATTTCGCAAATACTAAAATTTTAGCAACATGAGTTTGTCAAAAGTCACAAATTTGTGAAAAATCACATGATCTGGCAACACTGCATACAACCATGAAATTGTTGGAAAGGACATTTTGCAAATCAGCAGAAAGAAAAGACAACTCAGCAAAAAGGTGCAAATATCCACACCATGACATCAGAGGATATGTCAGGGCACATAAATGCAAGGAGTCAACATGTGCAGTACAACGCAACTTATAAAGAAAGGAAAATGCATTTCTAAGCATTCTTCTGCAAATAAAAATGAGATTACATGCAGTATGGCTATAATAAAACATCAGGATGCATTTAACATATGGTAGAATGAATAGGAAATTTGAGAAGGGCTGCAGTTTGATGTCTGTTGAAGAACTTGGAAATCCTTTCAAATTACATGTACACTGTAAGGTTGGTGGTGGTTAGCCAGGGAAACAAAGGTGACTGATGACCAATACATCACCTTGCAGGCAAAAGAGCTCAAAACCAGACAGTGGGCAACATTGTTCAGCAGCTGTGCATGGCAACTGGATGACAGGTGTCCCAGTTTACTGTGGCCAGATGACTTCATAAAGGTGGCCTATTCGCCCACTGATCTGAATGCTGCAATGCTAAATGCTATCAACAGCAGCACCATTTACAATGTGTAGAGAAACAAAGACTGAACATCTCATTAAGGGTGTCATGCCCTCTTTACCAATAACAGCCGTTTCAGTCTGACAACCGATTTTTGGTGCCAGTTGATATGGACAGATGCAAGAACATACTTTCATCCCACTAACATCAAGGAAAGAGATCAATGGGGTACTTCTGGCATGCTTGTATGGGAAAACATTATGAAAAACAGATGGACAGAGCTCCACATTTTCGACACAGGTTCACTTACCAGAGATTGTTACTGTGATGAAGTTATCCTTCCCCAAGTGCATCCCTTCTGCAGTGTTACTGGTCCCAACTTTCTTTTATGGATGACACTGCACGGCCATACAGGCAACATGCTGTTGAAGAGCTCCTGGAAAGTGAATATATCCACAAAAAGAATTTTCTTAATTTAAATCCCATTGAGCATGTGTAGGATACTTTAGGAAACAGCCAGTGCACAAATTTGCCCTTTGGAGAATGCCATAAGCTGAAACAGATGTTCCTTGAAGAATAAAAACTCTTATCCCAGAAACTGTTTAATAGCCTGGTATTGAGCATCAACAGATGGTGCAACGCAGCCATTGCAGTTAGGGAAGATCATATCCCTTACTAAGAAGGCTCTTTGATTTGTTCTCACTCACTTCAGACAGTTTTTCCTAGCAAAGCCATTAAGTAAAGCCTTTTTTCTATTCGTTCTGTACTGAATGCATCCTATTCATGTTTCAGTTACAGTAATTTCCTCAACCTTTAAATAATACATAGTGCCTCTGTACTATGAATTTCCTGTTTCCAAGTTGATTTTTTGCAGAATTGCAGGCAAAGTCTGAAAAGTTGCTAAGTTTTGCACACTAGTGTATATACATATAATAAAATGTTTAAAAAAATATGCTTATGATTATTTTAAACTCATTAACTTTTTACACAACTTCCCGTCACAAGTACAACTTTATATAATCATACATGCATACTAAGAAATTATATTACATATGGTTATCAGTCTTTAAGCTGTATACGTTCAACAAGCACTGAAGGTAATCCAAGTTGGAAAACATCTTTATCTACATTTCTGAGCTTATTTCTGAGTATAACACTGCAAAAGTTTTCTAATGTAAGACATTGATTGGATTTATAAATAACGTAACTTGCTAACTGAATAGCTTCTTCATTTAGGAAGGAATCCAAAGCGGCTTCCCAATTTTGGGCCCGTAAATTAGCACCACAGTTTATAAGTAGATCAACTAATGCCCGACTTCCACTTTCACATGCATAGAATAACGGTGTAAAACCATCATTGTCATGTTTGTTGATGTCACATTTACAAATAAGCAGTTTGCGAACCAAAATTTCTTGTTTTGACCGAATTGCCAAATGCAATGCAGTCTGATGAAAGTTGTCAGCAACATTAACATCAGTTCCTCGTTCTATCAAGAGCATACTCAAATCTACATACGAATATTTTGTACATTTTGCTAAATCTGCTGGATTGCGGACAGCACACAGTTCTACAGCGTTCATCAATGCTGTTCTTCCATACTCATCTCTGTGGTTTATCTGCGAAAAAAAGTCAACATTAGAATTTCATCTAAATTAAAGAATTTAAACGATAACAAGACTATTACCCAAATATTTGATGAAATATAAAGTTACAGAAAAATATTCTATTCTCCATCTTCGAAAAATGCCTAAATATGAGAAATCTTCACAAAGACTATAAATATCGACGAAAATGCCATCCATTGAATTAAATTAAGTATGTATTTATGCAGAAATTTTTTAGTTATATTTATCAACTGGTTTTAAATGTCCAAAAAGATATCATCACTTATTAAAATATTTTTGAAGGATTCATACAATTAATTAAAATGCATCATGATCTGGGTTTCCCTTTTTGCATCCAGCTCCAGTCTGAAAAGTGTGTTTTGAAAACAGCTTATTGTTTTTTGCTCATGGATTTCACATTCTGGCAGAATAGAAAGCATTGCCACTTGAGGTAAATATTAGTAGCAAGCTTCATGTACAGTTCTGTGAAAGATAAACACAACTACATATTGGATAATTAATTCTCAGCAATAAATGCACAGATATCCACTTGCCTTAAATTTTGAAGATCCTAGCATTTGGCTTTTGTGCTTTTTGCCACTTTTTAGTACTCTGTGTGTCATTAATTTCTGGGGGACTAAGTTCTTAAATTACTAGGAGTATTACAAACACTTAGCTTAAATTTAAGCAGCTATTACCTTAAAATCTTAACAAAATCAGATTGCAAATTATTTTAAACCTTATGTATTTTACACTTTTTAAACAGTCCCCCCCCTCAATTTTTGAAACAATAAAAGATTTTCAAGATGTAATTTGAAGTTTTCAGACAGCAAAAATGTTTTTATGGTCTTGTCAGTTTCCTGTGAATCTTGTGCTAGTGAAAACACCTGTACTTTTTACTGAACACAAGAATCCATGCTTTCTCCTTTTTTTTGTGTGTTTATCTTTTTTCCCTTTTAAATTTTATTTATTTTAATTTTCAGGTACTTCTTTTTGAACTATTCAGACCATTTATATTTTCTCTTCCTAGTTTTGTATTATTATTCTTTTGCTAACAGAATTTCCGAGCTGCCATTTTACAATAGCATTAAATTTGCACTAGCGTACATTTTGATTCAGTCATGAAAAAAATCAAATTACTACAATTTTGTTAAACATATTGCCAGTGTGACTACTCCATAAACATGTTCCTATTTATTTATATATTGATTATGCGGTTAAGAGATCAGAAACATTATACTGCTTCACAAGTTTTAGTTTTTACTTCAAGCAATATGAATATTAAATCTACCAAAACAGGTTTAAGATCACAACAGTCTTTCTTACTATTACTTTTAACACTTTAGTAATATTTATATTGCTTGGAAAAAGTAAGTCAGCAACTTTATTGATAAATAAGAAAGTCTCCATCATGATATAGCTCGAATGCATGCATTCAAAATTTATCAGCAATTTGAGAGATGAAAAATTAAAATCCCTGTAGCCTGCAACATAGAAAATTTTATCAACAAAAGTTACTTTTCATTTCAATTATAACAGACATTTGATGTAATTAGTTAGCATTATACTTAAAAGATCTATTCAAAAAAGTTTATTGTTATGCTCAAATAGGTGACATATATATATATATGTATATTTATATATTAAGATATTTTCACAAAAAAGAATTCCTACTTTAAATTTTATTTTAAAGAAATATTAGGATCTGAAGGTTCTTAGTAATTTTATCTGGTCTTGAAAGGTAATAAAATGCTAAAAATTTCGCCAACATATAATTTCTGGGAAGTTTCTTCATCTCTATATATGTCAGTTTGTACAGAATTTTTATTAATCTCATGCATCACTTTTTGTTTACCATCAAAAGCTGAAGAGAGAGCTTTAATGTGTAAAATGATTACTGGAGGTATTAAGGCAACAAGAATCACCATAATAATTGTAAATTCTCAGTACTAGTTTTTCAGGTTTATACATAGAACCTTCTGCTTCAGCTCCAGAAGTGCAGTTCACACTTCTGCAGATGAAAAAGGTTCTATTTTCATATCTTAGAAATGCCATTTGGTTTGCATATCAAAATGCATACATATCAAATTTTGAAATGGAATGTATAAAAATTAAGACAGAATAATCATCATTTAATACACTTAATTTCATTACTTACATTTGCACCAGCATCTAATAACAGATTAACAATAGGTACAGCATCATCCACAGCATTAAACATAGCACTCAACACAGGGCCAAATGATCGATCATCATTTACAAGCACATTACAGCCTTGCGACAAGAGGTACTGAACAATTTCCGGAGAGCTTTTTCCACAAGCTATGTCTAAAGGAGTGTTTCTATATCCATCAGTCATCTCAAGAATATGTGTTGGTGAGTTTTCAGTTAATATCTTAACAATTTCTGAAAAATAACGTTCACATCAATTTTACACATTCCGTAAAGTCACAAACAAGAAAATGGTTATAGTAGGTACAAATTAAAATTAGAAGTAATTCTACGGAACAGCAAGATGCAAGCACTTACACTGTTTGCGCAAGTTGTGAAATTGTCATTTTCTGTTAAGAAAATTCTGAAAGAGGAAATGTGCCTTACACATTCTGCAATACTGATATATTAAACCACATACTATGATGCCATGAAGCAGGATATTTTCTGCAACTCCCACACCACAACTTTTTCCTGACATACTTGACATCCTTTTTATTGAAAGATGGAATACTTATCTGAATTGTGCATTATTTAATAACTAAATTAAATTCAATAATAAAATCTTTCAGCAAGTGAATTCCTATGGGAGCAAACAGTTCTACACAAATATGTAACCTATTTCTTTTTACTTATGAATATAAATTCCAACTAAGTTTAAATAAGAATGAATTAAAGCTATTTGCACATACATTTAAATACATAGATGATATTATAACTTTCAATAATAATTCTGCTTTTGAGCAATTCAAAATTTACCCAAATAGTTTAACACTTAATAAAACAAATACGAGTCAAGATACTATTGAATACCTAGACCTGCTAATTATTAAACACAGCAAAATTAAATTATATGATAAAAGAAGGAATTTCTATTTTCATACTATTAAGCTAATTAATTGGAACTCTAATATCTCTAGAAAAGTAATAGAAAACACGTTTCATAACCAAATAATCAGAATAAAATATATATGTACTGAAATAGAAGATTTAAAGGAAGAAATAATAAAGCTAATTAATGTTCAAGTTGATAACCAAGTACCACCAAAATTTATTAATTTATATATTAAAAAGGCAGGCATTAACTTTACTTTATAATTTTTTGGCTCTTTATGGTACGATAACATTACCTTAAACCTTAGCTGGAGGGTAATGGAGGATATAGAAGAGTAAAGAATTATCTTGTAAGTTTTTATTGTAAATAAATTTGTAAATATGTATATTTAATCAATACTGGATTCTTTCCTTTTATTAATAAAGGACCAACTCTTTTCAAAAGTCTCAATTATAGCCCGAATTGAGTGAAGATTTTAATCTTCTTCTAATTTTCCATACTTTAGCCAGTATTTAGTAAAGTTTTGATATACCAGTTGGAATCAAGTTTATTAAAACTTTCAATACTTTCTTTCTTTCTTTAAATTTAGCTTTTAATAAACTTTTTTTAAGGAATTCAATAACTAAAAAATTTTTCGAAATTCATTTCAAAATTTAAATTTTACTTAAAAAAAATTGGGGAATTTAAGACATTTTCAGACTTTTGTTTTTAATTTATATTTTACTTTAAAACATTTATAAATTTTAAACATTTCAGTTTTACTTAATTACATTTTAATTATTAGTTTTTAATTTGCAATTTTCAATAAAAAATTATTTTTTCACTTAACGTTTTTATTTGCATTATTTACACAATTTTGCAACACACATTTAACATTACAAACAGTTTACATTTATTAATTCACAATAACCACTTAACTCTACCTTACTTCAATCAGAATACTCTTTTTATGATACAGTCAAAAGTCGTTAATCCGGACTCATCGGGACTTTGGCAATTCCAGATTATCGATTTTTCCAGATTATAGATCATCAGTTTAAATCTGGTAAGATGGCATGCAGAAATTATAAAAGTAAAAATATGAAACCGTAATTTATGAAATAAAGAACAATTATGATCTAAAGGGTATCAAAATTTACAAAAAAAAAAGCTTAATATTTATTTGTTTACTTTACTATCTTCGCTATCGGAAGCAAATTATAATGACGAGGAATTTGATTTAAATCATATCAAGGACGAAGTACATCGAGATGAAATACTACATTTAGTAAGGAATTATAAGCCAAATAAAATAAAAACATCTGCCCTGAAGATAAGGATAGAGCTGACAGATCAACTTCCAATTCATTACGCGCCGCGGCGTCCCCCCGCCGCAGAGCAGCGTGAAATTGATAAACAGATTTTGGAATGGTTAGATAAACAAAGGATATGCCTTTATCCATTTTTTGCAGCAATTCCACTTTTTGTTTAATGGACTTCGAAACATACTTTCGCTTTGTAGATCCTTTACATGTTAGTAAATATATATCATAAATTCCATTTGACATAATCAAAAGTTCAAGCTTACTTTTATAAAATTGCTCTAACAGTCTGCAAAAAATAATAAGCCCGATCCAATTCGAAGATTAAGGAACAATGCAATCTGCAACATTAACTGAATTAGATAATTTTAGCTTAGCTTATACCCTCCGTTATACAGTAAACGCGCATGCACAAGCGTATTTTGAGCATGCACACATGCATATTCGCAGCCGTAAAGGTTTTACGCGCATGCGCAGAAAGTTTGTAGCTTTGAGGTCCGGATTATAGATCATTCCGGATTATGGGTGTCCGAATTAACGACTTTTGACTGTATTTGCAGAGCAAACTTACATCTCTTGATTGGCTCAGCTACTAAACTCCCTACCATAAATAGTTGGTCAGTTAAAATTATAACTTGAATTACATACTTTTAGGATTTTCTTTCTTTGATTTTTTTTTTTTCTAGAATTATATTATTTAAATATTTTAATATTAAAATTAAAAAAATTAAAAAAAAAAAAAAAAAAGAAAAAAAGAAAAAGCAGCTCGGCACTCAACTTTACTTACATAAGAGCCATCTATATAATTTGCAGAACACCACTTACATCACTTACGAAATACTTTTACAAACCCCAACGCTAATATGGTAGGTAAGTTAGAATTAAAACTTACCTATTTACTTGCTTTTAAGTTATTTTTTATGGTAGTATTTTAAGTATTTTTCTACGTATGTAATTATTTTTAAGTATTTATATTTGTTTTTTTATAAATTATGAATTAGTTCCTTTTAGTTTTCTTATTGGTTTAATATAAATTATGTCTAATTCCTTTTAGTTACTTTTTGATTGATATGCATATTCGTGTCGGGGAGGTTTCTGTAGACAAGGGTTTCTAAAATGCATTGGTTTCTAAATTCATTTTTCTGAAAAATTTAATTTAATTTTTTTTAAATTTAATTTAATACTAGACTACATTGCTTAATTCTCAAAATACTTCATAGGTATTTTCCTTTTAGACCTTTATTTCAATTGCTAAATTCTCAAGGTACCACTTTATAGGTATTTCTTTTTGGACATTCTTCACTATGTATTTACTTTTGGTTTTGACTTTTACCCTTGCTTGCATGAATGACGAAACACGAATTGAATGATTGTAGAGTTAGGTTTGGAGGTAACTTCCCCTTGATAAGTCTGTCTCCTTTCTGCTCAACAGTCATCCACTTATGCATTTTTTAAAAAAATTTTTAGATTAATTTTAATTTGCTAAATTGGTGAATTTATTTTCATGGTTTGGTTCTGCACTTGATTTACTTATGCTATCTGAATTTAAATGATATTGTAGATTAGTTCGAAAATTAAATCTTTTATATGTTTGCACATTTTCAAATTATTTTAACTTTAAATTTGCTTTTTACGTATATACATGTTTGTTACAATTTAAATTTCATTCTTTGCAGCAATGGTGCAAAGAATTAATTAAATTTGTATTTAAATTCAATTTATTCTTTTAAAGACCAATATAGATAGTCACATCAATGGGAGCATTGGCTTTGCATGCCTTTTGAATGATTGTTTAAATCTGGCTTATAACTTGTTGATTTAAGTTTCAAGCACGACTCAAGATTTTTATTTGTTAGTTGACTTCAAACTTGACTTTTTATTATATACATGCAAGAGAACGCTTGCTCGCACAAATATGTCGACCTGAAAATCGTCAGTACTTCATATACCAACTTCTTCACCTCACTGTATCATTCTGGAAGACTATTCCATGCGCCGAATATGATTGCCTCAATTCACGGAATTTCGTTTAGAGCTGTCCACTTGTGTTGCTTGATGTGCATGCATTTCTGGACCTCTAACTCTTCCAACTTGCTCTTGAGTTCTATGAACTTGCCACTCCACAAGTCTTTGGTTTTCAAATATAGCAGTTGCATTTGAAGCGATCCAGCATCAGTTCCAAAGGTCTCATTGTCAATATCATTTGTATTTGCGTTGAGAGGATTGAGTATGAACGCAAAAGTACTTTTGTTTGTTTTGAATTCCTCGAATCTCTCGGGGAATCCATCCTTCATGTTTTCTAAAGCTATGTTGATGTAATTCGTGTCAATAATCTCTTGAAAGGCTGAGTCGACTTCATGGTAGATACCATGAAGTAGAATTTTTGCAGCCATTTGTCTTCTTCCGATTCGGGATTGTCAATGCTTTTTTCATTGAGGAATGTTTTTATTTCACTCAAGCAGAAAGCAAAACGTTGCAATACGTTACCTCTGGAAAGCCATCACACTTTATTGTGCAGAAGTAGGTCAGAAAATGGCTATCTATCAAGGAAATCTTCAAACTGGTGATGGTAGTGTGCTTTTGCAAAATATTGTTAATAATCTTAATTACCAAGTTCATGACCAACTATTTTGGCTTTGGGCACAAAGCTCTTCTTGGTGAATTATACAGTGAAAGTTAGAATTTCATGGTTTATTTTTTCTGAAGAATTGATGTTACCACTCTATGTATTCCTGTCATACGCCTCTATCAGTTGCTATGGAAATGATTTTATTTAAATCAATTTAATTGTCTTCCAGGCATTTTTGCCCAAACATTTGTTCTATTATCTCCACAAGTTTGCCCTGAGAGCGATAACAATCCTACAGTTATTTGTTTGGACCTTGGGAGGACATATACCCCATGAAAAGGATAACTTGTGCCGTGTCTTTTATGTCACAAGACTCATCTATAGCAAGTGATAAGGCAGAAGCCAGCTGAATGTCTTCCACTTGCACATGTGTTACATGTTAGCAGTTTTATCTTGTACTGTTTTTGCAGATAATGGCAAATCTTTGATT